ATATATAAGGACATGCTTTAGAGACATAAGATAGCATTAGACATTCTCAAGTATTCTAGACATTCTATATCATTAAGAGTATTCTAAGACTTTCTACCTCATTATAAATACATTCTACACTATATTCTATATTGTACAAGAACATTCTAAATCATTCTATTTCATACACGATCACGACTGTAACAAGGAATAAACTCTACCAAATTATAAGCGTGTTGACTCCATTACATGGAATCCAACATTGTTAGTGGATCAAAATCTTTCTAATATACGTCTCAATATACAGAGTGTTAACAAAACGTTTGTTTCTAGTGACAAACTATTACGGATTTGGAATGGGTCGGCAAATCAATGCCGTATGGTATTACGATGTCATGTATAAACAACATTAGGTATTATTTATAGAAATTTTCGTATGATTATAATTTTAATTATTATTTGTTGTCTATATCAGGTCCCATAAAAAGTTCTATTGTTTTCCACATTGGTGGAAGAAAACGATTGTTTCGTTGATCAATAATTATAATTACTTTATATTCGCCAAAGTTATAAATAAACTTTATGAGGAACATGGTAGTAGTATAAATCACTACAATTGTTTCTAATTCTTTTGTCATTATAGGAAATACTCTTCTCTCAAAATTGAGAGTGATTTTAAAATATTTTAAAAGACATGATGACCAATAAATTTATGCAACATCTATCTGTTACACTTTTGTAACTGTTTTAGCTACAATATTAACGTACTGTTCCTTGTACTTTTCTTGTGAAGTGCAAAAGGCGAAATGTGCAAAAACCCAAGAAATTATATTTTCAAGTAGCGTTAATATTTTTAATTCTTGACATTCATAATCGTGATTATAAACATAATTTACATATTTTGTAACACCCTATATATACGGATTTGACCAAACAATAATCATTTCCTTAGACGAGAAAACTTATGTGATGTAAATTTTATAGAATAGCAAGGTCACAAATACAAATTAAAACTAAAAAATAAACTAAAAAATACTTAACCAAAATAAAATTCTATATTGTATTTTCTGCTTCTCCGACAAAATTATAAAAGCATAATTATAAAAATAAGAAGGAATATTATATGAGATTTACTTATGAAAGCTTTGTTACAAAATTGTAAGCAAATATTGAACATACGTCTATACTTAGAAGATATTATTTAAAGTACGAAAAACGTTAAAAATTCTTAAATTTTAATTTCAAAATGACCACTCTCTATATCAGCAAATTTAACATCGATGTAACTTGAAATTTATTACATTCTGAGTTTCTTGAATAATTCGCTACATTCCAACTACTTTATTATTAATTCGTTAAATTAATTCTTCGCTTTTGTACTGTACATCTTGTTTTAGAATTGTTCAAAAATGGAAAACAAAAAATATAAAGTTAGAAACATAGAATTATTAAATTTTGTATTTGTTACTATGTATAGATTCAAGCTGTGTTCAAAATTTGCTTATAACTTTGTAACAAAACGTTTACGAATTTATTTCATATAACATATAATTCGCTCGTAGATTATGTTTCTGTAATGTCGGGAAAAGGAAATATATTATATAATGTAAACAAACAAACAATCAATAAATGCTGTGTTGTTTTATGATTAAATGTCCCTTATCTTTTCAATGTGAAATTTTGTTAAATAGTTAAATTTACAAATTCTTTTATTAGCAATAAATGGCAGTAAATTTCTATTTAATCATTTATATGATTCGTAGAAATTCCACTTTTACGTACAGATGTTCAATTTTACATCGACAGTTTATCATTACATGTAACATTTACAAGTTTTACCTAATATTATGATCATTTTCTTGGATTTTTATTTAGTGCAGTTACAAATTCAAAACAAATCCAACATAAATAACCATACATTTTCAGAAAACTAGAACACTGAATGAATAATTGTTGTGTAATAATTAGGAGGCAGTGAGTTGCAACTATTACACAATGCAAACTTTGCAACTTTGTTAACAAAAAAAATATCAAGAATATTGTACATATATATATAGAAAAATGAATGTTACAGAACTTCACCTCTGTGTTTATACTTATGCTGCAAAATAATGTAACATTTAAAAAAAAATTTTTTCCCAAATTTGCATAAGGGACGAATGAGAGTTATTATGATAAAAACAATATTCGAAATCTATTTTTTATTCAAATAACGCTTCAATTCTTTAATTGTCTAATATAAGGATGGACTGAATACTGAAACAAATATTATTTTCAAGAATAAGATATGAAAGTGAAATTACCTAGCTGTACAAATACTGTGGTAGAATCCATGATTGCTTAATATGTTATAAACTTCCGGTAGCGTTCTAACAAATAAAATAATAGACACTATTGCGAGAGATCCACTCCAAATAGCAAGCAGCCCTCTTAATTCGAACTTTGGTCTATTCGACATGTAATAACGCCCACCAAAAATTAGCACAAGGTAAAGAGTACAACGATAGAAAGAGATTATATGATTATCCTTTATCCGCTCGTGACCATTTTTGTAGTTAAAATTCTTTTCGAAATCGGTTACATAAAAGTAACTAGGTTGCGTAATATGTACATGATCCACTTGTACGTCCATTTTGAAATATCTTTTACCTGATCATAGACCGAAAAACACACAGCTGCCAATCTATTAAAAATAAAATAATTAAGATTATTTTTGTAGTAAAACAAGTAGAAGAATGCAAATATTATCGATAATATTTTATATCTGAGAGTAACGAATAAAAGAATTAATTATTTATTCTTTAGTGTAAGAATAGTAAAATTAAAATAAATTCTCTTTCCTTTAAATGGTGTTCGATATAAAAAAAAAAAGCGAACGCAATAGAAGTTCCTTCTTTTTCCCTCTTCGTAGAATAGCCAAGAGAAACATAGTTATCTATTTGAAGTTTCACAAATAAAAATAAATAGGATACTTGTATTCCTCTCTAAAATCGTTAAATTTGTCGCAATTCAACATTTCTCTCGAAAATGTCTAATTAACAAGATATTTCGATTTGAAACTTTGAAATGAATTGTATAATCATTTTGCATTGTAATAATTTATTTCCTTGTAGTTAATTTCGTATGAATAATGCTATTTTCGATGCAGTTTATTCACAATCATACTAGGAACTTTAACGACGAACTTTTTTTCTAAACTTCGAAGATGTACAACTGGACATTAATGTCAGTACAGTTTCATTAAAAACTTTTGTTCTCTGTGTATTGAACGTTTTTTTATTATTAATTTTCTACACTTTCAGGTTTCATGTTTATCAAATGAATAATCAATAAATAGCCGTTTTACAAAATCTATACAAAATTTTTAAATGTGCGATTAGAAATGTAATCTTTCTAAAATTTCAACAACGAACAGACGTAATTAATATCGCTCTGCAAAATCTTCATTATTACAATTACACTATATTACAATATTCAATATTCTTTTCCTCTATTAATCTTCATATGTTAAGATATATTAAATTAAAGAAGTACGTTTAAATTGTATTTTATTTTGTAATAATTTAAAAGTGTCCAAATACTTATACATACTAATGTATTTTCATCATAGAAGTCTGAGATAAGATTTTTCACACTCGAAGAATTTAATATAGACGACGTCAATGAAATACATGAAGTTATACGTCATTTTACTTCAATTACAACTTTCACTTTACTTAATTCTGAATATTTAATTAATAAAACATTTACATAAGTGCATAAAGTTGCTTTGTAATTTCCCCAATGACGAAAATAATCTGAGATATTTGTATTCTCAATATTTATTTAACGATTAATTAAACAGATAATGCTATACATTAATCTATAAATGAAATATAATAATATAAAATATAAAGTTAAATGTAATAGTATGAGTCTATAAATATGAAACAAATTTTATGCAAACATTTAGCATTTCTTTCATTTTTTTTTCCCACTTCACATTTCACATTTTTACAATTCTATTAGTGACTTTTTTCATATTTCACTAGGCCTTTGTACAATTTCAAATTTTATAAACACAATAAAACAAATAGAAATTTGTTGCGTATCTAAATATTATAACTCGAATATTTCATATACTTGTGCAATTTACATGAATTCTGAAGACTTTTGTGCTCCTAATTTTGAAACTTGCAATAATTTAACCTGAAAAATAAACGAATGAAATATTATGCAATTGCATTTCTATTATCCTTTGATTGACACTATGATAAGAAAAAGCAAAGAAAAATCAAACGATTTCGTTTCTAATTATGTTTAAAATGTAGAAAGGTTAAGGGAAACAGAGGGATCGACACAGACGAATAGCTTTTAACAAATGAGTATATTTCCCGACCACGCTCTGCACAACCAAACTGCTCGCAATGTTGAAGCGTCGTCGTTTATAATCTGAGCGCCACTTAGGCTGGAGTGCTGTGAAGGCTGGAACGCTTGCCGCTTGGTGAATGTTGTTAGATGCAAAGGCAGCTCACGCAGCTGACACAGGCGTCGTTGACGAAGACAGCAGCTCACGCAGCTGACACAGGTGTCGTTGACGAAGACAGCAGCTCACGCAGGTCGTGGCCTTTGACTTCAAAGAAGAAGTCCCGTGAATGGTGCTAGACACGCAGAGAATGACTTCGCTGAGGAAGTCCCGTGAGTGTTGCAAGGCGCTCTTGTCGTCAGGCTTCACTGTTAAGCAGTCCTTGCTCGTGCTGGGCACGTTGATTGTCTCGGTTGTTGGAGAAGTAGCATGCTGCAGCACTTCGTACGTGGGCAAAAGGAATTCTCCCCAGAGAATTCCTTATCCGTTGTTGAGTCAAGTTATCGCCTAAAACTCAGAGAGAAAGCGTTATTTGTTGAAATGTGCTCGATGTTTGACCGTGGTCATACACAGGAGAACTTGCACTGCACAGAAAACACTACGTTGCCGAAGTGATCTCGAGGGTGGTTCAGAACGAACTGGCCGATGCTCGGCCCCTTCTCCCAAAACTTGGGACTCAAAAAAATGACAGTCTGACGCCGCGATGCGTTCATGCACAGGCTTGCCGGAGACATGCTTATCTCGATGCCGTCGATTCGTTTTTGACGACAAAGTCCAAACACCAGGAATGTAGTCTCGTATGAGACTTTGATACATGCCGCTCCAAATGTCGAGGAATACCTAGAATTGGTTCCGGCGGCACGATTACTTACTGTTATTGTTAGCATTGAAAAAAGTCTAGAATAAGTCGTTGGCACGAAAGAATTTTGTTTCTTTTGTTTTGTCGGCCAGGCGATTGGGATTCTGAGAATTCTGCTTGGAACACCTGCTGCTTTAGAAATCAAAAAGTGAAAGCGTGAGAGCGGAAGTTGGCTCTTCCATTGCCTCTACTTTTTTAAACAAATTATCAAAACATAATGTTCTAAGAAAATTTTGTCGCAGAATATTATAAAATGAGACTAAAGATAAAGTTTTCACAATATAAGATGAGACTAAAGATAAAGATTTCACTTTATTATCGCTTAAACAGAATACGTTAAATTTTATTCGCGCCTTGTAGCACTATACATATAATGACTCGAAAAAGAAAAAGAAAATTAAGTTGAAAATTTTTCAAGTATACTCTAATTTCGCTAATTCTGTATTGGACAGGCTCAAATAATCGAAGATGTTTTATGTGCAAAAATAAGTGAAAAATGTAGAATAAAATTTTTTCGTTCAAAGCGTCATTTTCAAGAAAATAGATTTTAGATACGTTTCGCTAGCAATTGCTTTAATACGTGTATTTGAAAATTTTTTAATTTTATCAAAAATGAAACGTCTTCTACATTATTTTCTCACGTAATGTATTTACTTCTGTGAAGTAAGAAAATTAATTTAATTTAATTTTAACTTAAAAAGTACCTAAAGTCTCGAACAAAAAATTTTCTTTCCTCTTCAATTCATTATTACATGCAAAAGTACTTTCCACAAGTCGTTATTATATTATATACAAATAACATAACTTTATATATGATATAATATAATTATTTAATTATAATTATATAGTATTACATTATTTATATAATTATATATCAAATACACATACAAAGTGGTTTGTGTAACTTGCTCATCTCCTGAAGTATATGTTGTATGACAAAATTTTTTATGCATGGTTTAGAAAAGCACATTCTGTAATAAATGTATTCTTTTCTTTTTTCTTTTTTAGATGGAAATGTTTCGGAAATTTTGAGATAACCGTCACCTTTTTATACCAACGATATATTTTTGATTCATTAATCGACGCAGCTCAATATTCTCTATAAAAAAGTATATCGAAAAATTATTAATTTAAGAGATACTTCATTTTTAATTTTGTAAAATCTATCGTATAAAAGACGAAGATAATGATAAACGTAAAAAGAAGAATTTTGTCGTTCCTCATATTATAATACACAATCTTATATTTAATTATGTTCTTCAAGATATTAATGTGTGTAAAAACGTATAAAACGTGTAACATTTCAACAACAGTAGAAGATTCTTATAAACATCGCAAACATAATCAATTAGTCTGTCAATTTTTCATTTCTTTTTGGGTGCTAATTTAACTGTAAATGATGTTAGAGATGAATGATTTGCATTATATGTTAGTAATTTTATTAATAATTAATCCCCATTTGTTAGTAAGTTTATGAATAATTAATTTCCAACTATAAATAATCAACTCCCCCAAAAAATGGGAATTTTTATATCTTACAATTATTTCACAACAATAAATTATTAATTTAGTTAATTTGATTGTTAAAAAATAGAGTACCTGTATATTATTTCTTCAAACACTACTTTCAACCAATTCATTACTAGTTTGTGTTTCTGTGTAGATACTTCCTGGATCTAAATTTCGTGAAATGTTACTTCCTCTCGTACATGTGACTGAATAACGAAATAGTTAAATAATAATCGTTTGCAGCATGACTATTGATTCTTCGGTATCCCACTCCTGACATACTAATTAGCATGGATTTATGTAAAGTGTATTAGAATATGCTCGATTTAGCAAAATGTTTTTGACTGGAAGTAAACTATAAAATTATTTAATCGTGACTTCTAAACGTCAGATTTGCCAACTTTCGGTTATTTTTCATTTCTTAATTTGAAGAAGTTCACAAAGTAGAATATGATGCAAGCGAAGTTTAAACTTTTGATTTCGAGTTTCGTTTTATTAAGAAATTATAAAAAAAAAAAAATACGAAATAGTCGAGTGATATTTAAGTATCTAGTTTTATTTCATTAATAAAATTTAATTAATATCTAATAGCTATTTAATTTATCTACTAATTATTTAAAGTTAATAATAAGTTAATATTAATTCACTAAATAATTAATACTACATATTAAATGGAACCAATATTCCATTTCAAAATATCTGTCCATTGACAAAAAATGAAATTTATTACTGTACTGAAGTTCATTCG